AACAGTGAGGAGTAAAGAATGGGGACAGAAAGTTTTCTCAAATGGTTACAAGCTCAAATGTTCTCAAGGGACAAGCAGATAAAGTACATGGTTGAAAGTGAAAGTGGGAGAGGTAAAAATCGGGTGGTTTTGGGATCACATGCCTAGCGTACCAAATCAACACACAGATTTGCATTTCCACGCATCCCCCCTTACACCTGCTGAACCTGCTGTCCACATTTATTGCAATCTTTCTCTCTTTATTTCCATTCTTTCTTACATACACAGCCTAGATTATGTCCATCCATTTTAGCTAACTTCTCAAGACATGTTAAAATCCCTCTCATTCTTTTGACCTTACAGTGTATGTTTCTTGATATTTCCTAAACCTCATTAAATTACTCTATTTCTCTAGGCTTGGGATAAATTCTGGTCACTATGATAATTTTTCCCCTACATATTCAAGTTCATCACAACACTAGCCCCCGCCCCAACCCCACTGAGCTTCTTTGCTCTTATTCATCTCTAATTCCTCCTAATTTCCCCACAGTAGCTGTCCTGAAATTTTACTCTTGAGATCACAACTCATCTCTTTCATTTGTCTTTAAATGAGAAAGTGGAGATTATCTGACATGAACTTTCTCAATTCTTCTTCCTTCCACTTCATAATATCTTGTGCTGTTACTACATTCTGTTGTCATTTCTTTTTATCTTTAAGGAAGTAGTGACCTTTCCCCAGTTTTGAGACCAATTTTTCTACTCTTTCAAATGAGACTTTGCGTTTCCCATCTTTCTGAATCTGTGTTCTCTCTCCTCTGTGTCCCTGATATTCTTTCTATTCATAGTCCTTCTCCATCTGCATTCTTTTCCTTGGTTGCTATCATGCAGCTCATGTCATAATCTCATCATAATTCTCAAGCTCTTCCTTGGGCTCTCTGATTGTTGGGCACATCCAACTAGATAACTTGTAAAAGTTCAAATATTGACCCTAAATATACACTTACCATCTTTCCCTCCAATGCTCTATTTTTGGTGATACAGGGGAAATACTTCCAGATGTGTAGATCTAAAACCTGGGGGTCAGCTTTAAATTCATGCTTTCCCTGGTTCACCTCCCTCCACGTACAGTCATGACAGATTGTGGTGCTTCTACATGGTCGATGTTCAAAGGGCATTTGTAGTTGCTGAGATAGGCACTGGGATAGAGTGGGAACAACACTAGATTTGGAAACAGAAGACTTGAACTTGAAGGCTGACTTGACCACTTAGAAGCTCTGTGAGCTCTGGCAAGTCCTGGAACTTCTCTTTGTCTCAGTCTCTCATCTGTAAAAAGGTGATAGCAATAATTTTCTTAAAGAATTGTTGTGGGGTTACAGAAGCTGATATGCATTAAAGTTCTTTGTAAATTTTAAAGTGGCATGCTTTGATTTAGTTTTTGGTATAGCCAGGTATGTATTCCCCAAATAAGTTTCACTCTCGGCGAGAAAAGACTTGTAAAAATAAATAGGATGGGACTAGTTAAGAACCCCTCTTTGGATCGTGTGCAGTGACTCATGCCTATAATCATAGCACTTTGGGAGGCAGGAGGATCACTTTAGCCAAGAGTTTGATACCAGTCTGAGCACCATAGTGAGACCTTGTTTCTACAAAAAAAATCAGGAAAATTAGCCAGATGTGGTGGCATGATGGCTGGGACCTGTAGTCCCAGCTACTTGGGAGGATGAGGCAGGACGATCACTTCAGCCCAAGAATTTGAGGTTGCTGTAAGCTATGATGATACCACTGCCCTCTAGCCTGGGTGACAGTAAGATCCCATCTCAAAAAGAAACCCCAAAAAACAAACAAAAAAACCAAAAACAAAACAACAATAACAACAAAAACCTTTTTTTGCAATAGGCAAACTGTTCTCAAAGGTTTTCAAAGGATCAAGTTCTGTACTGAGTTTATAGACTATTAATTCGAGTCCATATGATATTGCTATTCTTGTAGGTTATTTTTAAGGCAATTATTGGAAATTGCATGTGGTCCAAACTAATTGTGGGAATACCCTTTCACATTTCCCCCAGGAAAGCCCAGACGTTGGAAGGCTCCTCTTGACATTGCACAAGCCCATCCATTGCTAATGCTATTGGGGTGGAGGCAAAGGTTCCGCCAGCCTCTGTTGCCCTGCCTTCATTGCCAGCGGCCCAGTCCATCTGGATGCCCTGGTTACCTCCGTGTGCCAGGGAGCCACTGTGAGGGCTGAAACGGCTGACCCGTCCTCTTTAGTCACACCGACTCATTAACGTACAAAACATGTAAAAGGTAACACTGCCGTTATGATTATCATTATTAAGTTCATTATCTTCATCAGGAACCCTAATATTTGACTGGGACTGGGAAGACTTTGCCATGATAAATGAAAATAATATTGTGTGTCATTTGTTAAGTTTATTCTTCAATTTGCTGCTACTTGTTTTAAGTGCTTACTACTTAGTTTTTATGTCTACTGTGGCTTTCTTTCAGTTCAATTCTATCTTTCAAAAAGAAATCACTTGTATGTAGCATAATGAACATCAACACAAGGAAATGAGATAATATATTTCCTAATGAAAATATATCTGATGTGAAGACTGGCCTGATAGAATGACCTTTTGGGGTAGAGCTATCTACCTCAGAATGTGACTCTACTTGTATTTAAATATAAAAGAGAAGCTTGTTTTCATATTGTGTGTCAGTGGGTATATGTGTATATTCAAAGAATCATTTTTTTTCCCAGTATAGGACACTTTTTATTTAACAAGACATTACAAGTAACCTTGAGCATACAATCTAAGGCATGTGGCCTCTTCGGAGTCTACATCTTCCTCATTCTATAGAACTCAATTGGGTACAAACACAAACGCCAGTTCTTATGTTCTTACTACGTAGTGTTTAATTGTACAGATTCCATAAAAAAATCACTTAATATAAAGAAAAAAAATACTCTTTTTTATTGTCACACTAAATACTTTTGCCAGCAAATGCTTTTGGGGGTGCTTTTTATATATGGATTTTTCACAATGCCAGAGAGCTTTTGTCTTTTTTAGTGCTTTATATTTATAGTTGTGGGATGATCATTTTCTGGTTGGTTTCACATTGAGCTCTTTCAGAACTAGTTGGAGTAGTAATAGTTTCATACTGTTTATACTTTCTCCCCCTGAGTCCTATGTTAAATCTTTTTCACTCTATCAGTGACACTGCAGTATATTATGCTATACATTCTTAGTCTATTAACTTTGGGCATTGCTAATGATTTATTTTATATATATATATATCTATATGTATATAGCACATAAAGCATGTAAATGTTTCTTATTAAAACAAGAGAACTCAAAATACAATCAACCCTATCAGCAAAACAAGAAAGAGCTGGAGATTTTCTTTTTCCAAGTGAGACTACAAGGAAGAAACAGGTTTGTAAAGTCCCAGTATTGAACAACAAAGTAAATTATAAAAGATCCCTAAAGGGAGAGATTTCAAGTTTTCTTAAAAAACAGCTTCTTTGGTATTCCACTCCTACACTTAATTTTTTTTTTTTAAAAGCAATACATTTGAAAAATCAAGAATAACAACTTAACAGTTTTCTTAACTAGAAGAAAATGTTTGAGTTTCTGTAAGTCTGGAAGGAAGAAAAGGTGGAGGAATCTCAAAGTCACCTTTAATCCCACATCATTGTGCTGAGATGCTTGCCAAGGAGCTCTGAGGAGTGGCTCACCTTCCCCCCAAGGCAGCTCAAAGCCTGTGAGGATTTAACCTGGAAGTGGTATGTGTAAAGCAACTGGAAAACAAGTGCTCTTGGGGTAACGATTAACAACAGAAGATTTAAGGGAACAGAGTGATTGTGAAATAGTTCCCCAAATACAAGAAATGGAACTGATTAGAATAAGAGCAAGCAGTATTTGCATCTTCTTAATGAGCATTGTCTACTTACAAGAAAAAAAGTCTTTGGAAGCCACTGGGCTCCTGACTTACCTTACTGTTTGGCTTTGTTTTTTTTTTTTTACACTCAGGCTTTTGGAACAAACAGAATGATTTAGAAAACACCTTTCAGGGAGGCATAAACACCTAACTTGGCCATTTTCAGGCTAAACAGTCTACAGGATAAGAATGGATGGGATGGAGGAGAGAGTAGAACAAAAAGAAATGGGCTAAGACAAGAAGTCACATATGGGGAGAAGGAGAGAGGAAACAAAGGCAGGGAAAAGAAGAGACAGCTAGAGTAGTAAGGGAAGTCAGATTTTTGCTACGACTGAATCTATGTCTAGAACTACAAAGCTGGTGATATGGTATATACAAAAATGAGAAGAGAATCTTTTTTTCTTAATGCACTAAGGGGGATTGAAGAAACATTTACAAAATATTTATTGGGGTTGCCCCAGCAGCATACAGACAACCACATTTGGCTGGGTATTGCCCTGCCCAGACTGACTCCCTCTGGGGCAACCGGAGTAGGCAGTGCTGCAGCCTAGTCCTCTGTCCTTACAGATGTCCCTCTTCCTCCAGGAAATGGGTTCCAAGATTGGCAAGGTCAGCATACAAGAAAGTGAGGTCAATGTCAGATTTCCATGCCAGGAACAGGAACTCTGGATACATTGGAGAGTTACAGTTGGTCAAACCCCAAGGCTGCTTATTGAAATGTCAGCCAGGCCAGTCCCAGAGCCATGTCCTCTTCTCTCCTCAGACCCTGTGAACCCCTTGTGCTGGGGAGGGGAAGAGAAAGATTTAAAAAAATTCAAAAAGAAATCATAATTGCCACATACATTTTTTTTTTCTCCTTGTAAACTAATTTGTTATAATTTATTGTGAACTATTTAGAGTTCTTTTCTTAAATTTCCCATGCTAAGGATCTGCTTTACTGGCAGAGATGTTTTCCCAAGATAAAACTGGGCACTTTCTTAAAAAGCTATGTGTTCAAGGTTAATGCTATGGTTGTCTACCTTGGCCTTTTTGGACACTCAGCGGAGAGAGCTAATCAGTGGATCTGTTGTCTCTAGGAAACGGAGAAGGAAAACAATCAGCTCTGTTCTCTCAGGGCGGAAGGAGTGAGCTGCAATGAGGGAGCGCACGCAAGCCCCAGCACACAGGTGAGCACCGCCCGCCTGCTGACCCTGCCCACAGGTGCGCGGTTGCCAGGTAACGCTCACCTGGGGCCTCCGGGTGCTCTAAGAAGCCGGGCAGTTGGACTTGGAGAGGTGTGGGCACGCCTGGGGCGGTTGTGGGGGGCGGGGGGGGGGTGGCGAACGGAGTCACTGTCAGGGCAGCTGGCAGAGCGGCTGCTCCTCACCTCTGGTAGCAAGTGGGAACAAGCAGGTTCGCCCTGACTGGCCCATCTTCCTCCTCATCCGCCTCTGCCTTGAAACGGCTCTCTCTGAAATAGTGGTGATCTTACAGATGCAGAAGGCAGAAAACGAGACCCGTACTGTGCGCTCTGGAGAGCTCACTGTATATCTATAGGGTGGAAGTTGTGTGTATATATATATATATATATAGTAAAAATTCCTCTCAAACTCGGGCAAATTTATTTTACATTGTCTTTAGGCATTCTTGAGGATTTGGTTGTCCTTACCCACCCCGCCTCCCGCCCTTGCTTCCTTCTGACACAGACGTAATTCAGGTCCTGAATCATCACACGATCACTTGCATATGGTCTTCATATAGAGTCTGCTACTTCCTAAACCATTTATCTGGTGAATTCATAAATCTGGAACACCTTGTTCCCAAGTAATGCCAGGTGTATAAGAACCTACTTTGTCCTAAGCTAATGTTGGTTTGCCTTCTAGTAGGTAGTAGTAGTTACTGGTCAGTGGGTGTACTCCTAGGTATCTGCGTTTCATTCCACTTGATCGAGAAGCTTTTAGGTAAATGGACAGGCATGGTGTCACCGTGTGCAGTGAAATACGTTGTGCATTGTGCTGGTCCTGGACTGGAATTACTCTACAAATATAGGGCCAGTGTTTAAGAGCCAGCATCTTTCGGAGTCTGCATCCGTAGGTAAGTTAGGTTCGGAGAAGGGTGAATATTGGAGATCAGCCAGCTCTCCTGGTCCATGGCATGTCTTTACAGCTAAGTCTTTCCTAAGCATGGAGTCCTACTTTTTCACCTCGAGGTATCTGTATGTTCCTGAATCCATTTAGGGTGAGGAAAAGATGAGTTGTCTAATAAAACAATGGGAAAACTAAAGGCTTGAGGTGGAAGCAGAGGCAGCCAAACTGCTTCGTTGCCACCTGGAATCAGGCAAGCCAGTGGAGAGATCTCGCAGGCTAACCTTCCTAGCCTGAGGGCTATCATTCTGCTTTATATGTTTGAGTCACTGTGAGAGCAGAAAGATTTATAGGTGTTGTTTCAACACTTACTCAACAAATATTTACTGAACACCTACTCTTTTCTGAGCTCTGCAGTGTATTCAGAAACCAGAGCTGCAAACAAGTCATTCTTCCTCACAATTCTTGAATGCTGCTCTTTTTTAACTGCCTCTAGATCACATACAAGTATCAATCCATGTATTGATTGAACACTTACATGTGTAAAGGCTCTTACAGGCCGACATTGTCAATATTTGCAAACTCTAAGACTTGTAGACTTGGAGGCAGCTTATTTTCTGTGGGTATGTACTTTCATGTACCTTACATTACAGTGCAACCATGTTGAGTTTATATTAAAAAATATATATTTGCAAGTCAAAACCAAACAAACAGAAAAGCTAACTGTCACACAGATAGAACTCAAGCGTGGAGAAAGAATGCTTCAAGCCACTTCTCAGGAGTCAATCCAACCTGCTGCTAGATTCTGATATTTTAGGGTCTCAGTATCAAAAGTATATTTGTTAAGATTTTTTTTTAAAGAAAACTGTAAGTACTTGTCTAGTGATGTTGATAGTTTAGTAGATGAAATTTTTCCTATTTGATCGTACCTAACTCCAGGGTCTAAAAACATGGGTAAAGATGCCTAGTTCATTAAGGATATGGTATATTTGGCACGGAAGGGGAAAATATGGCCTTTGGTACACTAAGTCATCACCAATGATGTTATATCTCAAATGTGTGAATGAGGAAAATACAACCTTTGTAAAGCCTTTGGCGCCCAACCAGAGATTCATACGGTGCCAAAGATGAGGGTTTGGGAGAAGAGCTTCTCTTTCTGAACATGCCAGCTCTCTTCAGGAGTACCCCTCATCCCACTGAAGTGGGAACACATGGTTCCAAGTGCAGCTCTCTGCAGAGAGCTTGGTGGGTTTCCAGAAAGAATTTTGCCATGCTAATTCTAGAGCAGTGTTACCCAGGCTTTCAAAACTCTAAACTCCTATAAATGCTTTCTCATTCTATCTTCTAGAGAGGCCAAATTACCCAGAAATATGTTATTCAGGCTGTGGATTCCCTGTTCCAAAGGCACTGGGCATTTTAAATATGCCTTATCAAACTGTTTACACAAACCTACACAAACCTTCTGGAAGCTCTGACAGGGTTCCCTTGACTTGGGAAGACATGATACAGTTTGCCTGGGACATTCTCAGTCTACTCTTGCTGTCCCTGTGTAAACATTACTATTGGGTGCCCCTTTCACTCTTATATGTGCCCTAGTTTGAATGATATATGGTCACCTTACCTTTGACTTGGATCTTACTCTCCCACAAGTTAAGAATAATTTATGTGGGGTTATCCAGACCTCATCTCTCTATATATCTGTGTGAATTTGGGTAAATCATCTAATCTCCCTGAGGTTCAGTATGCCCATGTGTATATGGGGGTTATATGGACAGACATTATCTACTTCCTCCCCAATACTAACATATCAAGCATTAGTCACATCAATCAAATTATTTGATCACCATTCTGGGAGCCCATTTTTTTCTAAGAGCTAGACGGGATAGCTAGATGTTGGAGGATCTTTCATAATCAACAGCTAGAAGGTGGAGGACACTTTGTGCCATTCTAAGAAGTTTGGGCTTCACACTGGGCAAAGGAGAGTGACAAGGCTTTTAATAGGTTAATGATGTGACTAAATATTTGCTTCAAAAAGCATATTTTAATAATCCCCATGAGAAGAAATGGAAACACTAGCAATGAACTTTGAGCTCTGTATCTGGGAAGTCTTGAAATTAACATCTTCTTGAGCTCGAATGACAGAGAACTCCCATTCTGAGTGAATTTCAATTAGATTCCTATCACCTCTACTTGACTCTCTCAAATGTAGGCCATTGATGTAATATTTCTCTGCTCCTCGTCTTTCAGTAAGGTTTGTGTCTTCTATTAACAAAATACCACAGCATCCCAGAGCAGGTTGCCTTTCGGTGATGAATCACGTGGTACCCAAGTGCTAAGATATAAATTGTTAACCGCTTCAGGATTCATAGGGATGAAAGATGCTTTATTTATTGTCCTTTGAGATGAGAGATGCATAATTTATAACACTAGGATTACTCTTTTATTTATTTTTGTGATGCTTGAATCGCATTCTTTTGTAGTGATGGTATGGCAGAATCCCTCTTAATTTGTGAGCAAGTGGCTTATTAAAAGCTAGAGTTAGAGGGTCTGGCTATCCAAAAGTGGGTGTTGTGTGAAGAAAACAGTATGATCCTTTTGTTGTTCACACAAAGACTTTATTCTCCTGCTCAAAAGCGTTAGTAAGATGTTAAACATGTGTGCATGATGTAAAGATGTTGGCTCTGATGTGTATGCATGCAAGCTTAAGGTTTAGGATGACATAATTAGGTACATTCTGTAAAAGTAGTTTAAAATGTCACAGTCAAAGACTTTGCTCCATCTTACTTCCAGTGGGCTCATGACTTTGCATGACATTCTTCTATTTCCTAGGTAATCACATGTTTCCAGCATCCAAAAATACGGACAACTTTGTGCTTGGGAAAATGTCTAGTGTCTCTGGTTGACAGAAACTTTAGAATTTCCTTGCCTGGAAATCTCTTTGCAGCTTTGTAGAAAAGCCTTGTTTTGTTTGTTTGTTTTCTCACTTTTAACTGAAAGGTGTGGCTCACTTCTTGGCAGCAATTTTTAGGACGATCTTCTTTAATTTTTTGAAATATTTGCCTTATATCATCACTGTTTTGGAGGGAATGTGGTGGGCCATGAGTTTGTATGTGGATTGGGATGAGGCAGGAACGTGGGAAATTGTTTCTATTTGTTTTTTCCACCAATGCACTCTTCCTTTTGTGGAACCAATGTCATCTCCTCAACATTTGAGGGATCGTAGCAACAGTGGAATGTTTGGCAATAAGAGAGCAGGGTCAGGCTAGCTAATAGCTTCTTTTTCCTTCTATTCGTTTATACTAATGGAAAAGGGCTTTCCCTTGGACTGATGGGCCAAACAGAAATATAGGTTGAGTATTCCTTATCTGAAATGTCTGGGGCCAGAAATGTTTTGGATTTGGATTTTTTTCAGATTTTGGAATATTTGCATATACGTAATGCTATGTTTTGAGGATGGGAACCCAAGTCTAAACATGAAATTCATTTATGTTTCATATATACCATATATATATATATATAACCTAAGGTAATTTTATACAATATTTTTAATACTTTTGTGCATGAAACAAAGTTTGTGGGCCTGAGGTCAGGTGTGGAATTTTCCATTTGAGGCATGTCATATCAGAACTCAAAGGTTTCAGAGTTTGGAGTGTTTTGGATTTTAGATTTTTGAATTAGGGCAGCTCACCCTGTAGTGGGAAAGAAAAGGGACCTATAGACAGAGAGATCCAGGGGCTTTAGGGTAACACTGTACAAAGAATAGAGTGTGAATGGTAAAGAACACTCAGGGAAACAAATGTATCTAAAAATGATGTTACCAATTTGGTTGCATGAGTCTATTTTATTAGGACATAAATTTGCCTTCTTAACCAGAGTCAGTTTGGCATTTCTAAGAATGTTTCTTTTAGAACTATAGAAGGTATTGTACAGGGAAATATAGGGAAGTGTGACTTTTTTTTAAATCCTTCAATTTGACACTAGAAGCAAATGAGGCAAAATTGAGGCATAGCTGTCTTTATGTGTATAAAGGCCCCTGGCATGGCCGGGTGCAGTGGCTCATGCCTGTAATCCTAGCACTCTGGGAGCCTGAAGAGAGAGGATCTCTCGAGGTCAGGAGTTCGAGACCAGCCTGAGCAAGAGTGAGACCCCATCTCTACTGAAAATAGAAAGAAATTAGCCGGACAACTAAAAAATATAGAAAAAAATTAGCCGGGCATGGTGGTGCATTCCCATATTCCCAGCTACTCAAGAAGCTAAGGCAGAAGGATTGCTTGATCCCAGGAGTCTAACTGAGGTTGCTGTGAGCTAGGCTGACACCACGTCATGCTAGCCCAGGCAACAGAGTGAGACTCTGTCTCAAAAAAAAAAAAAAAAAAAAAAAAAGACCTTGGAGTAAGATGTAAGATAAGGAGTACTAGCAATTCTGCCTTCACTGAGGACAGAAATGGACTTCAACTAAAGTGAGAGATTAGAAGCAGGTTTAAGAAAGTCCTTTCTATCTGAATCAGTCCACTACTGATGCTAGGATTTATAGAACTTGTTTCTCTGGATTCCTGTTCCTTTTGTTGTCAGACTATTGTGACTATAGTCATTTCAGCAAAGGATGAATATCTATCTATCTGTAATGATTTAAAGAATATGTAGTATTTAGCATTCAAACATGTTCTTTTGCAGATAAATCTGACTTCCCCTCAAGTTAATGGCTGGTACCAAGGCAAAAACCTCAATTCCTAAGCACCAGGACTGTGATATTTTCTGTGCAGCAAACACTGGAATGGCAAAAGTAAGGGATCAAACTAAAGAACTCTAGAGCTTTCTTCCTACTCTGAATATTTAAACCTAAAAAAAGAATTCCATCTTTGCAAAAGTTGAAATCATATTTATAATGTCAAAATGGAAATTATTTTCATATTTCTTCAAAATGTATAAGGCATAAAATTTTTATTTTTCTTTTCATTGAGTGTTTTTGAAAAATTTGTGTTAGTATGGGTTCTCCAGAAAGACAGATCCAATAAGATGTAGATAGATAGATATGTGCGAGGGGATTTATTTGGGGAATTGACTCATGTGATTATGGAGATTGAGAAGTTGTATGTCAGTCCATCTGCAAGCTGGAGACTCTGAGATGCTAGGAGAGTGGCTCAGTCCAAGTCCAAAAGCCTCAGAACCAGGGAAGCCAATGGGGGACCTTTCAGTCCAAGAACTAAAGTTGGGGGGAGGAAGTGCTATCAAAGTCCCATAGTCCAAAAGCTGGAGAATCCCTCCCAGGGATTTGATCATCACCTATAACAGTGAAGATAATTTTGTTCACTGTTTTTGCTAAATTGCCTGCTTTTTGTTGTAATTTTGTTATAATTTACTTGGCAGCTCTGATAAAACAAGAGAGAAGCAAACACAAGGTGTGCTCATTCGCAACAGTTGCTCTCTTATGTCCAGATCGCCATTGTAAACAGTAAGCATGGATGAAATAAATGATTAGATGGAAAAAGGGATTGCTTGTGATGATGCTCAGAACCTAAGAACTTACAAATTACTTGGTGTCTGCGTGTCTGAGATAATTCCCTCAGGATGACCTCTGCTTTCCATGCCGAGGTCTGCACTGTTGTATCAGCTGCAGCAGAAGCCCCCTGGCAGGCAGAAATGTCCAGAGAATGTTCTCACACTGGCGTATTTTTCCACTCATTCAGCTTCTAACCGTCACGATTACCCTTGTCATCTCTACTTCGGGTTAATGAATGTGTATTGATGGCATAAGGCCAAAGTTTGAATTGGGATAGACCCTAGATTATTTTAATTAGTCATTTATCAATAATATTAAAATATGTGTTGAGTTGCCCACAATAAACCCAGCACTTTACATAATTATTTTTTTAAATGAAAAGCTCACAGCTCTGGAGTAGATATTAGTTCCCATTTAAATGGAGGACCAGAAAGAAGAGTTGGCCAAATTCCCACAGCCAGAGTCAGATCATATATAAAATCACCTTTCATCCCAGTTGCCCTGGATGATTATTAATGGATCTCCATTTTACTCTCAATAGGGGTTTGGTCAATACATTGTAGAGTCCGAATTAATTAGCACCAGAATTGCTTTGAAGCAACATTGCAAAGTGGGAGGAGTTTGTCTTGGGGCCCTTCTTGCATCATCTATCAGGTCACCTTGGTTCCTCCCTCTTGGGGACATACTTTTCCATCCCCTGGGTCTTTTAAACTGTGTGCTGTTCTCACTCTGTTTCAGCTGGTTATTAACTGGTTGCTGCTAAATGTTGGTGCAACGATATTGCTATTGGCCTTCTTTATTCACAAATAGGCCAAAAGTTCCCAACCTTTTTGATCTATAAAACTCACTTCAGCCACTGACCCCACCTTCACAGAATGGTATGAAAGATTCCGGTTATAAAGGAATTCTTAAGGTTATCTCTTGTCACTGGGATTGTGTATGACTTTTTCTTAGTGCCCCTATAGAACTTTATATATGACATTCCCACGACAGTATTTGTAGGATTTGTAATAATGTATAGTAATTATTTACTTATATCCCTTTATCTCTTTTTAAAAATATTTTTTAAATTATGTTTAATTATAATAAAATATACACAATGTAAAATTTACTATCTTAACTATTTTTAATACCACAGTTCAGTGGTATTAAGTAGATACTTGGTTGTATTTCTATTTTTCCTACAATATTCTTAAATTGTGCAGAGCCAAGATAGTGCTTTGTTAATGCACTTTCAGCCTAGCAGTGTGCCTGGAATCAAATAGTTAATCAATGAAGATTTGACAAATAAATGGAGGAATCCCTGTTTTTCTGCTGTTTTGCCTTGATCCTTCAATTCCTGTCACTTTCTGATGGCTGACTCTTTTCCAGGACTTTTGTCATCAATTTTGTTTTTCCTCCCCAACTTATGAGGGTTCATTGGTTCTCCACTATATTTTGAGTCTTCTCTTTTACTGCATTTCACAGTGTTTGCGTTCTTTGCCCCTTGTCTTTCTTCCTAGCTTTGAGTCCACTGTGTACTCTGACTTTGCAGAAGTTCAAACTGCTTTCATACCCAGACTGTACTCAAGATAAGCACGACTTGCCTGTTTGGCCTGCTTTGACCTCTCATCTGTCCAAATTCTGATTTGGTTCTGTTTGCAAGATCTGACCTGGAGTTAGGAGACATGGGTTTGAACCCAACTCTATATCCATCTAGTGTCATGACCAGCAACTCAGCCTCTTTGAGCTCACATTCCACATCTGTGAAGAACAGGTAATAAAAATATCTTCTTCTCAATAATGAATGAGATAACATATATAGAAGAGCTTTGCAAATTACTGAGCTGCTTCTGCCACATTCAAGGTTAGTGGGATGTTGCTGCTTTGTGCCAGTCGAAAGGAGGTATTTAAATGTAAAAAATCCTCCTCAAACCATAATAACAAGACTCTTGTAAAGCAAGTAGTGAAAACCTTAGGATTTGGCATATCATTTTGGAAAGATAGCCAACTCTTGACTAGATCATCTTTGGAACCAGTTAGAACTGCTGTTTTATAGTTTGCTAAATTTGGATATGTGAGACACATCAAATTAAAGGCTGAATGTCCTATAAACTCAGTGTTTGGAAATTATTTTTAAATAAGTTTCCTAGAATTTTAAGCAATTGCGGATTGTTTAAGCCTGACAATACATTTGTTACAACATATAATGAGTGCAAAAGTTACAAACTAAGGATTGTCTCACCTATTAATGTTGGTCTGAAATAGCCTTTAGAAATAGGTTTAAAAAAAAGACACGAGAACTTAAGAAAAAGTGAGACACAGCAATGCCTATTTTGAGAAAAAAAAAAGACATTAAAATTTCAGATGAATTGGCCTAACCACTTGAGAGAATTCTGTCAATTGGGATACAAAAATATTTTCCAAATTTTAAAACATTTTATACACAAAATAGTCCAACTATGTTTTTGTTTTGTAAAATCACACATTTTACAAGTTCACACCATAGGTATTTTCTATGAAAGAAGAATGTTAATTTTAAGAATATTAGTTTTTTCTTTGTGGGAAGATTTCAAAGATTATGGTTGAGGGAGTTGCTTATAGAAAATATTAAATTAATGAGAAAGTCTGACACTATCAAGTGTAATTAGAGATATTAAGTTGCTATATTTATACTAATTTAAAGGGTTTGAATTTTTCTCTAACTTGATGTGCTTTTCAGAGTACTTTTGAATGTTGTTCTTTAGTTGAAAGTGCATTTGCAATGTACTCCAAGCTAAAGTGGTTTAAAAGGTTTTGAAATTTGGGAGCTGATAGCAGTTGTGTTATAAATATCTCTCCTAGTACAGATGTGACTAATACCTTTTGCTCTGCTGCACTATTGAATAAATCAAAATCTTACCTCATGATAAGAGTGTGTTGCTTCAAGCTTGCTAAGTAGTGGTTGAAAATCTTCGAAGAATTTGTGTAATGGTTGGAACATACTCCACAGAGTCCGTAGATGTCTGGAGTCTCTATGCTCTGTTCAAAATGGTCAAAGAGAGTTAGACCATCATCAATACAACTGTGAGACATGCAGCTTTGAGAACACCTCAAATATTTTTAATTCATGACTCTGCTAGTTCCCAAGTTATTCATATGCCTTTTGCAGGACCAGTTAAGCATGATTGAGGGGCAAAATCTATACACATTTAAAGAGGCCTATACTGGAAGACGTCATGCTGTAGTCAGGGGTTGACAAACATTTTCTATAAAGGGCCAGATAGTATTTTTGGCTTTAAAGGTCATATGTTCTCTGTTGCAACACTTGGTTCAGTTGTTGTGCAAAACCAGCAATAGGCAATGCAAAGACAAATAATCATGGCTGTTTTCCAATGAAACTTTATAAGAACAGGCAACAGGGCAAATTTGGCTGGTGGGCTATAATTTACTCACATCTGTTTGTTATAAGCAATAGTTTTGTGTTTGCTTTAAAATATTTTACCTCCTTTTCTCCATAGAGAGAGAGAATTCAGTCCAACACAGAACATCATAGAGATATTAATCATCATTAAAACTCAAGATAAGGACTCAGCCTGATTGTTGTAGCTAAAAGGGCTGCTTTGGGATATGCAAGTGATTCCCTTTCTAATCCTACAGGCTTTATTCAGGGCAAATAAACAGCTGAGGTGAGAAATTAAACTCAGAAGACAATGTGACCCTCTCCTTCTTGGATGAATCTCAAAGCCCATCTTCTGAATGTAATTACTGAAGAGTTGACTACATATGGATAGATTGTCTATGAACTGACTGGCTAGAGTCAAAATTCAGGAAAAATTTAGTCATATTCTGGCATTTGAAACATCTCAGTGCCAAGTAGTTGAGAACTCCTTCTGTTTGTCTCACCTCCTTTTCCTGTAGCTTAAATTTAACCTTTCTCAGCTTTTTCACACGTCTGGAGAAAGAAAAGAAAGGATGGAGAGCTAGAGCAAATAATTAAAGATCACCCTGGAAGAATAAAGAGTGAAGAGACAGATAGGGGTTTAGAAAAAATAATGGAGAAAATAGCAATTTGAATTTTATGTGTCTCTTTTTTTTTAATGCAAGCCTGGCTCTAGGAAAAATTTCTAAATAAGTGGAATTATCTTTGGCATCATCACTTTCCCCTCCTCTTACCCTACCTCACCACTTCCAACACCAGGGCATTCCTGCCACTTGTTGGGCCCTGAAAGCTTCTCCTTGCCTGGGACTGGGTTTCCATTTCCTGGTGTCTCATCTCTTTCTCCTCTTTTCTATCATCAAAACTTTCATATAATCTCAGCTTTGAAGAGGAAGGACAATTGGTTTAAACTAATTTTTAGACCACTGCAGGAATAACTGATATCTCCCAGTACAATCCAAATTAATCAATTAATCTGTAATTTATAATACTCAGGAAGTATAGGGAGATAATTTTAAGCAGAGAGAAATTCCATGGTATCCTTTAAATGACATCAAATAACCCATTACCTGCCAAGAAGAGACAACTGCTGGCAACATTGATTACAAAAACAAAAACACAGATCGTGAAACTATTACAGTCCAAGAGTCAGCTGACTTGGTATCATTGTGTTCTCTAGATTTCAAAGATCACCCTTTATTTCACTATCCCAATATGGTGACCCAAGACTCTATCTCTATCTTAGTTAGCTTGGGAGACTATAACAAAAACCATAAACTGGGTGACTTAAGCAGCAAACATTTATTTCTCAAAGTTCTGGATACCGAAAGTCTAAGATCACATTGCCAGCATGGTCTGGGCCCTCTTTCTGGTTTATAGCTCTCTGCTTTCTCCCTGTGTTCTCATAGGGTAGAGAGAAATCTCATTTCTCTCTTGTCTCTTCTATAAGGACACTTCTCCCATTCATACCTCCAAAGGCCCCACCTCCAAATACCATTACACTGGGCAGCAAGTCTTCAACATATGAATTTTGGAGGGTATACATTCAGTCAATAGCAACCCTGTATCAAGTTTTTAAAATATTCCTGATATTTCTGTGGATGTCAGGGAAATTGATAGCTCTTAATTGAACTGCACAGTAATTTTCTTCTTAACCATCACTGTCAGTATCTGAAGATTCCTTTTCTCTTGCTGTCCAACTCCCCTCTATGGTGGACACCACCCTAATTTCTTCATTCACTCAGGAATAACTACAGTAATGGTGTTTTGAATGGCAGATGTTTCCAAAGGCTTGGCATAATGGTAAACAATTATAAATACAGTACCATGTGAACATCAATTTAAAGTTATTGTTAGACATTATAGTCTGAAAAATTCATCAGCCATGTCTGAAAATAGGATGTTAGCTTTCTGTCTTCTTAAGATCTTTACCTTGGCACTAAGGCTTTTTTCTCTACCTAACTCATTTTTACATATATCATGATTTATTTTTAAATTTTATCTCCAGGTCCCTAATCTTATCATTCTGTAATATTTTTACAACCTTCTTTGCAGAGCAATTAAGTTCTTTGTTGTTTTTTTTTTTAACCTACTTCAAAAGGTAGAAATGGCACTTTCTCTGCACACATGCACACAAAAAGATCACTGAAGCAATTTCTTATGCATAGAAACTTCTCCCCAAAATGAACACTCTCACCCTAGAATAAAAAAGCAGATGCAGTAAGTTCTTGTGTTATATAACAATATTTTCCCTTTGCCTGCTATATTTAATTATTAACTATATAGTCATCTTCAAAAATACATTTGCTTTTCCCCAGTTCTACTTCTTGAAATCTCTAGCATATGAAATTGCTTTCTACTCTCTTTTTATTTGAAGTTCCTTCGTATTTTGGCTTCCATGACATTGCAATTGCTGGGTTCTTTTTAACTCATTAAGTACTTCTTTTCTATTTAATTATTTGGCTCTTTTTTCCTTATGCTGTTCTTGGTCACAAAGTCCAAGGATTGCTGGTCAAAATATGAGCAGCAGGCTGGGAGAAGTAGGCCCCTGGTAGCAGACAGAAAGAGTCCCACAAGACAAGAGCCAAAATGATCAAATCGAAATGATCAAATTCATCCACTCCCAAGCCCACATTAAAAATATACAACTAAGTGTATTTTGGATATTTGTTTTATTTTTTAAATAATTGGCTTTATTATAAATCCCTTCCACTCTTTAACTTCTCTTTAGTTGCCTGTTTTCCAGTAGTATAAAGCATCCAGTCATTCAAGTTGGAAATATTGTCATTAGTGTGGAAACATTTGTCTCCCATGTCCCTAATATATATATGACAGCCAAATCCTTATCCTATTTTCTTCTCAGCTTCTCTCACTTCTATCTTTTCCTTTACATATCCAGCCCCTTAGTCTAGTCCTATGTTACTTTTAGCTAGTTATGCTAGTTACTTTAGCTAGTTACTTTTAGCTAGTTATTACATTTCTCTAGTTATCCATGGAGACATAAAATTAAAATGTTTTATTCTCCCTGTAGTGAATAATGGTATGGATCCTTAAAACTCAATGAGCATAGTGTTATTTCATTGCAGAATCTTAGGATTATATTCTACTACTTTTGATGTAATTAGATCTGATAATGATTTTTAGTGGGGATACAGAATTTATCTGAATTACTCTCCCAAGTAATTGGAAGCCTAGAGCTGTCCTTCAGCTGGGCTGCAGGAAGCTGGCTTTGGTATGGAAGTGGAGAGGAATGATACTCAGCTGCCAGGTATGGAACAAGCTACAGACAAAACAGGGATCTGGGTGAATATGAGATACAGAACCAAGTAAGTCTGAAGGGGTAGGCCACGAGCCAAAAACCAGCAAGAATGAGATCCTAAGAAACTGAAGTTGGGGAAGATGGAGTAAACTGTTTCTGGAGAAACTCCTGAAAATCAGTGGCATATGGAAGGATGGTGACTTTTCTTAGGAATGGGTGTCTGACCTTTATGCAGGAGGACAGCAGTGCGGTTATAATACTGAGTGCATCTGGATGGAAATGGCATGCTTGGAATCAAATATTTAAACCTAAAAATTGTTGAGGATGACAATGAGAACTTAGAAACAAAAAAGAATGCATTTGGCCCTTACTCCTGCTATAAGAGAATCTTCAACATAATCAGGACCTTATTGTATATCTCTAATTAGTCAGCACTTCTAGCCACGAGGAGTTATGATTGAAACCATATGATTAAAACCCATTATTTGTAATGATATGTTCTTTAAGTTACTAATAGGGGTCTATTTAGTTAGAAAAGTGATTTCATTTTGCCATATTTAAATTATCTCTGCCTTAACAAAGTTCATAAAGTTAAAAAAGAAACTTCTCAGTAGACTACCAGCTGTGGTAGAATGCAAACTAATGAAGTAAAAACAACAAGAATGTCAGAATACAAACATAGCCAAGTACAAAAATAAAACATGCTTATAAAAAGTATATCTTCTGTTCTCCAAGAACTGTATGAAGTCAAAGTCTGTATGAATTAATTAGGAATCCCATATGATCAGTTATGGGAACACCAGAAAATTCAGGGCTGTTCTGGGAACCTGCCCAGTGCGGGAGAGAATGGTGGTGGATGGCCTGTCTATCAAAGTCACACAGAGGTTCATGTGCATGATGTTTTTTGGTTGCAAAGAGCACAAATTCAAGGCACTTTAAAGAAAAATGTAGACTATTATAAGGATACATGTAGCCTGGAACTGAAATCAGAAATCCACCAGATATATGGCAGGTTTAGGATCTCATTATCTTTTATTATCTTTTGACTCATTTATTTATTCTATTAATAATTCCTGAACATTTATGCTATTCACTATTTCAGGCAGTGAAGGTGCAACAACATATAAGATGATCAATGTTTCTTCTTCTCTCATGGACTTTATTCTGGTGAAAAGAGGTAGATAATAAAAAAGGAAATGATTTAATTTAGAAGAATGGAAGCCCAGGCCAATGGGGTAGAGAATGAGTAGGAGCATCCTAATGTAGACTGGACAGTAAGGGAACACATACCATTTAAACTGAGGCCTGAATAATGAGATGGAGCCAAAACCACATAAGGAAGTTTATTCCAGTAGAAGTTACAGGAAATGAAGTGGGCCAAGACAGGAACAGCAACAGCAGCAACAAAATCAGAAAAAAACCAGTATTATTGGAGCCAAAGGAGCAAGGGAAAGAGTACACAGAGATGAGATGTGATATATAGACGTGTATATTGGAGCCTTTGGTTAGAAAAAAGATGTCTTGTTTTTATTCAAAAGAGCTGTGGGAAAGCACTGAAGGGTTATAGAGAAAGTAGTGACACTCCAATCGTTTCGCCTCTTTTCATGGTTTATACGGTCACTCTGATAGCAGTTCTGTTCCTCATTGCTCAGCTGACCTGTTTCCTAGTTTGAGAATGGCTATATTCTTTGCTTAAAATTTCAGAGCAACACAAGTAATTGACTAGCTAATGAATTACCCTTAATCAGGCTACTTCATAAGTTGCTGGATGAAACATGGTTGGGATCCAGTGTCAAGTTTTTGTATCATCAGTGGCCATATCTGTACAGAGGGAAACTTAGCTGACCCATGAGCAGAAGCTCAGGACAATGACACATCAATTAGAGAGAGCAGAGGCAGGAGGTGGAGACTGATGTGTCCAATTCATGCCACCTTCTACATGCTTAAAATTAAATAGCAAACTAATGGTACTTGAAGTAAAATACATACAATTATTATGTATGACATTGTCCAATTATAATATTTTATATTTGTAATCCCTAGTTATATATTATATATTATATAATATTTATATCTTATGTAACATAATTCTATATAAAATAAATTATTGTATTTTATACAAATTCTATGTATTACATAATGTGATTTACTTTCATAGGCTATGGAATATATCTTCTTAGAAAACAGGAAGGATGAGTTATGTTAAATCAGACCCAGTTTTCTTGGCCCTAGAGGCATGTCTGGCAATATGTCTGGAAGAGATTAGCTCGTGGTTTGTAGTCCTTGGTGGAGATGCCTCTGTGCATCTTCCTGGCAGCTCTGCAGATAATCTGCCCGTATACATCTGGTGTATTGCTGTGAAGTGTTGCACTCATAGCTTCTAAAACACCTGTTACTTGTTACTTTCCTTGCTGAGAAGCAAATGGTCTAAATTTTATCTTACCCACATATTTTTGACATATTTTAGAGATGCCAGGTCAATCTATTCTGTTACAGGTTAATCTAACACCCATGGAATAAGAAGACATCCCTAAGTTACCAAGATAGATGGTAGCAAAACCCATAATAGAATCAGGGTCCTCCATTTTTCAATTCAGTGATTTTTATACAGCATAGCTGGAGATGGAGAAATGAATGGGAAAAACAAAATAATGCAACATGAAGACAAACCAAAGTGTAGGAATTGACTCTGAGAAGAGGCAATGATAAGGATAATTAATGGAAGAACAGCACTTTGAGAAAGAAAGACAAAGGTATGGAAAGTGGGAAAGGTGAGTGTAATAAAAGGGAAATGTTTGGTTTTTTTTTCTTTTTTTTTTGGAGAGACATAGTCTCACTTTGTTGCCCAGGCTAGAGTGAGTGCCGTGGCGTCAGCCTAGCTCACAGCAACCTCAAACTCCTGGGCTCAAGCGATCCTTCTGCCTCAGCCTCCGGAGTAGCTGGGACTACAGGCATGTGCCACCATGCCCGGCTAATTTTTTTTTTTTTTTGTATATATATGTTAGTTGGCCAATTAATTTCTTTCTATTTATAGTAGAGACGGGGTCTCGCTCTGGCTCAGGTTGGTTTCGAACTCCTGAACTCAAACGATCCGCCTGCCTCAGCCTCCCAGAGAGCTAGGATTACAGGCGTGAGCCACCGCACCCGGCCTAAGGGAAATGTTTAATATAGAAAAGTAGCCAACATGACCTGTCAAATATTCTGAAGTCAGTGAAATCCCTTTAGGTGTCAATAGGATTTTTTCTATGGCAATCTTTTAACTAGCTTGATTTCTTTTAAGGGCTTTTCTCATGAAACTGGGAAGTAATTACATATAAATATAATACAAGATATATATAAGTTTGTATTTATTATATAAAAGATTTTCTTAGCTGTAGTTCCACATCTGACTTAGATACTATGCTATTGGTTCATCTATAATTGCCTAAGGGGGTTTTCAAAGATGATGGGTAAAGAGTAAAACACATTTATTAACCAGGGTGCTATACCCTAGAACCAATGCATGTCCAGACCCTGTGGGATGATTGAAGCTCAGCACTGGCCTGCAAGTTCCTCTTTTTTCTTTTTTACTGTACTTTATTTATTTCCTTCTATATGGGAATGGTAAACAATATATACTATTCTAGGCAAGGGTCAGTAAACTTTTTCTGAAACAGGCCAGATAGTAAATATTTTAGGCTTGTGGCCCTTCCTTACAGTAGTGGGTGAATATATTGTTGTAGCAACTCAACTTTGCCAATGTAGCACAAAAGGTACAAAAGACTTTACAATATGTAAATACATGGGTACAGATGTGTTCTAAGAAAATTTTAAGCTATAAAAGCAGATCATGTGGCTGGCTGTGGTGCCTCATGCCTATAATCCTAGCACTCTGAGAGGTTGAGGTGCGAGGATTGCTTTGAGTTCAGGAGTTCAAGACCAGCCTAAGCAGGAGTGAGACCCCATCTCTACTAAAAAAAAAAATTTTGGTTGGGCGTGGTAGTGTGTGTGTGCCTGTAGTCCATCCTACTCGGGAGGCTGAAGGAGGAGGATCTCTTGAGCCCAGAAGTCTGAGGTTGCAGTGAGCTAGGATGATGCCACCACACTCTAGCTGGGGCAATAGAGTGAGACTCTGTCTCAAACAAAACAAAACAAAACAAAACTAAACTAAACTAAACTAACAAAAACCCCAAAACAAAAGTAGGTCATGCCCATTTGAAAATATCAAGTTGGAAAAGCAAAAAGGAAACAAAATGAAGAAATGTGAAGACAGCCCAAGAGATATAAGGGACACCATCAAACAGACCAACAAAACCAGTAGGGGAGTCCCTGAAGAGAACCAAGAGAGAAAGGAGCAGAGAACTATTTGAAGAATTACTGGCCCCAGACTTCACAAATTTGAGGAAAAGAGCGAGTATGCAAATTCAAGGAGTTCAACAAGCTCCAACTAAGAAAATCCAAAAGATCACACCAAGATACATTATAATTAAGCTGTCAGAAGTCACAAAGAATTCTGAAAGCAGCAAAAGAAGAATGACTGATCCTGTGCAAAGGTGCTCCTATAAGATTATCATTGCATTTATCAGCAGAAATTTTGTAAGCCAGAAGAGGGGTGGGGTGATATATTTATAGTACTGAAAGAAAAAAAGAAACCTGCCACCCAAGAATATTACATCATACAAAACGATCCTTCAAAAATGAAGGGCAAATTATAGACCTTCCCAGATAAACAAAAGCTAAGGGAGTTCATCACCATTAGACCTACCTTACAAGAAATTCTAAAGGGAGTTCTTCAGGTTGAAATGAACGAATGCTAAACAGCAACACAAAACCATATGAAATATAAAGATCTCTGGTAAAGATAATTATATGAGCATTTCCATTTAATATTTTCAGAACTTGTTTGACTATGGTAACTAAAACCAAGGATGATGGGGGATTACTATGGACCAATTGAAGCCAACAGACATTTACTGATCATTTCATCCAACAACAGGAGAATACACATTCTTCTCAAGCACACATGAGATATTCTCCAAGATAAACTACATGTTAGGCCACAAAACAAATTTTAATACATTTAGAAAAATTGAAATCATACAAAGCATGATTCATCATACTTGAAATCATACAAAGTTATCTATTATGACCACAATGCAATGAAACTACAAATTACTAGCTGAAGGAAAACTTAAAAATGTACAAATTTGTGAAAACTACACAACACATTCTTAGCCCACCAATGGGTCAAAGAAGAAATCACAAGGGAAATCAGAAAATAGCTTGAGATAAATGAAAAGGAAAATACAGCATACCCCAACTTATAGGAGACAGTGCAAGCAGTACACAGAGGGAAGTTTATAGCTGTAAATGCTCACATTAGAAAGAAGAAAGAACTCAAATAAAAAACCTAGAATTAGAGAAAGGGAATTAGAACAAGAAAAACAAACCAAGCCTAAAGCTAGCAGAAGAAAGGAAGATACAATTAGAACATAAACAAAGGAAATACAAAATAGAAAAATAATAGAAAATAATCATCAAAGAGTTGATTTTTTGAAAAGATTAACAAAATTGACAAATCCTTAGTTAGGTTAACTAAGGAAAAAAAGACTTGAAAAGTTGAAATCAGAAATGAAAGAAGGCGACCGGGTGCGGTGGCTCATGCCTGTAATCCTAGCTCTCTGGAAGGCTGAGGCGGGTGGATCGTTGCAGCTCAGAAGTTCAAGACCAGCCTGAGCAAGAGCGAGACCCCGTCTCTACTAAAAAAAAAAAAAAAAAAAAAAAAGTTAATTGGCCAACTGAAAATGGAAAAAAAAAATAAAGGAATAAAAAAATAATAAAAAAAAAATAAAAATAAATAAATAAATGAAAGAAGGGACATTACAACTGATGCACCAGAATTAAAAATAATTATAAAAGAATGCTATGAACAATTATGTGCTAACAAATTGGATAACCCAGAAGAAATAAATAAATTCCCATGCACATATAACCTATCAAGATTGAATCATGAAGAAATAAACAATTTAAACAGACTTGTAACTAGTAAGGAGATTGAATCAGTAATCAAAAGCCTCCCAATAAAGAAAAACACAAGACCAGATGGCTTCACTGGAGAATTCTACCAAACATTTAAAGAAAAATTAACACCAATTCTCCTGGAACTCTTTCAAAAAACTGAAGAGGAGGGAACACTTCCAAACGCATTATATGAGGCCAGTATTACCCTGATACTATAGCCAAACACACTATAAGAAAAAGAAACTACTGACCAATAACCCTAGAGAATATTGATACACAAATCCTCAATAAAATACTAGCTATCCAAATTCAACACTACATTGAAAAGATTATCACCATGATCAAGTGGATTTTTTCCTGAAATGCAAGAATGATTCAATATATGGAAATCAGTAAATATAATATACCACATAACAGAATGAAGAACTAAAACCTCATATCCCTTCAATTGATGCAGAAAAGGCATTGACAAAATTCAACACTCTTTCATGATAAACATACTGAACAAACTAAGAATAGAAGGAAAATACCTCAACATTATAAAGACCATATATGAAAAGCTCATTGCTAACATAATACTCAATGGTGAAAGACAGACAGCTTTTCCTCTAAGATCAGGAACAGGTCAATGATTTCCACAGTACTTAATTTCTTAGCCAGAGAAATTAGACTAGAAAAAGAAAAAAAAGGCATTCACACTTAAAAGAAAGATGTAAACTTATCTATGTTCACAGATGACATATTAGAAACCCCTAAAGGTTACACACACACACACAAACCTGTTAGAATGAATTAAAAAATTGAGCAAAGTTGTAGTGTACAAAATCAGCATACAAAAATCAGCTGTGTTTCTATACAGTAACAATGAACTATACAACAAGGAAATTAAGAAAACAATCCCATTGACAATAGCATCAAAAATAATAAAATATTGTACGTAGATATAAACCTAACCAAAGAAATGAAAGACATACACTGAAAACTACAAAAATTACTGAAATAACTTAAATAAGACATGAGTGAATGGAAAGACATCTTGTGTTCATGGATTATAAGAATTAATAGTGTTAAAATATCCACATTACCCAAAGCAATTTACAGATTTAATCCAATTCCAATGGTAATTTTTTCAGAAATAGAAAAACATTTTCTGAAATTCATACAGAATCACAAGGAATCAAAAATAGCAAAAATAATCTTGACCAAAAAAAAAGAGCAAAGTTGGAGGCCTCATACTGCTTGATTTCAAAACATATCACAAAGCTATAGTAATCACAACAATATAGTACTGGCATACAGGAAGGCATGTAGACCAATAGAACAGAATAGAGACTCCAAACTGAACCTTCATGTATATATTCACATGATCTTCTACAAGAATGCCTAGACCACTCAGAGAAAGTACAGTCTCTTCAACAAATGGTGTTGGGAAACTGTATATCCACATGCAAAAGAATGAAGGTGGACCTTATGTTACACCACATATAAAAATTTAACTCAAAATGGATTAAAGACCTAAAAATATAAAACTCTTAGAAGAAAACATAGAGGCAAAGTTTCATGGCACTGGATTTGGATTTTCAGAGTTAAAAGGCAACTTATAGAAAGGGAGAAAATATTTGCAAATCATATATCTGATAAGGGATTAACATCCAGAATATATTATATTTTTCCAAAGAAGATATGCAAATTTCAGCAAGCATATGAAGTGATGCTCAACATCACTAATCATTAGAGAAATGCAAATCAAAACCACGATGAGATATCATCTGTCCCCTGTTAGGATGTGCACTATAAAAATAAAACAACAAAAAAAGAACAAAACAGAATATAATAAGTGTTGGAGAGGATGTGCAGAAATTAGAACTCTTTGTGCACTATTGGTGGGAATGTAAAATGGCGCATTTGCTGTGGAAAATATTATAGAGATTCCACAAAAAATTAAAAATAGAATTATCATTTAATTAAGTAATCCCACTTCTGCATATATACTCAAAGGATCTGAGAGCATGATCTCAAATAGATATTCGTATACCCATGTTCATTGTAGCATTCACAATAGCTAAGAGGTGAAAGCAATCCAGATGTCCATGGACAGATGAATAGGTAAAGATGATATGGCATATACGTAGAATGGAATATTATTCATCCTTTAAAAAGAAAAAATCCTGTCGCATAAGACAACATGGATTAACCTTGACTTGGGTTTTTTAAAAGTTTTTTTTAGAGCCAACTTCTCACTATATTGCCCAAGCTGGACTTGAACTACTAGGCTCAAGCAATCCTCCCACCTCAGCCTCCCAAGTAGCCGGGACTACAAGTATACATAACTGCGCCTGGCTAGAATTAACCTTGAGAATAAGCCAGTCACAAGAAGACAGATACTGTATGATTCCACTCATACAAGGTATGGAAAGTCGTCAAATTCATAAAAACAGAAGGGAGAACTGTGGTTTCCAGGGGCTGAGGCAATGAAGAAATAGGGAATTGTTTAATGTGTATAGATTTTAATTTTGCAAGATGAAAAAGTTCTGGAGATCTGTTGCATAACAATGTGAATATATTTAACACTGTTGAACTGTATACTTAATTGTTAAGATGATAAATTTTATGTTGTTTTTCTTTAATCACCATTTTTTAAAAAGCTGATTATGCTCCAGATTTGGCCTGAGTGCCACATTCACTGACCCCTTTGGAGAACAAACCACTTCTGAAGTGGAAGGGAAAATAAAAAATGAATGATGGGTTCTTTCTCTGGTTACCAGGGACCATGAAACAAAATGTTTTATAAATTCTTCTAAGTTGTGTTAGGGTGAAAATGGGGCATTTATTGGAATATTCTGTATCCGTAGTTGAGGGAAAGTATCGTAGGGAGAAAATCCTCTGGGCCTGGGGGTTGGAGGAGGTACTCGCCTTACTGTTGGTTGCAAAGTATATAGGGAGAATGATTAAATGTGATTCATGTTCATTAAGTTCCTTGAGATCCTTATAGTGTGAAGTGACCACGTGCCTTTTAAGAATAAAAAGAATCATAACAAAAATACATTCCATCTGATTTCCCTCTTGCAATGGAGTTGGTGATAGATTCCCATCTATTGTGTCTAACAGAACTATATTTCGATTTTTCTTAATGAAAACAACTTTCCTGTTGTTACTTTTTACTTTTTTTTCCTTTTCCTAATCTCAGGTTTCAGAAGAAGTAAGTTGATGTCTATGACTTGATTTTTATTTTGGGGGTAGGAAGAGATATGATTTAAACTCTTCTTACATGTTTCATTTGCCTAAATTAAATCATAAAATGCTTGGTATGGAGACCAGATTTTTTAATATGTTCAGGAACAAAACTGTACAGATAACAGCGCTTTATAGATTATGTTACCACAAACATAAGCATTGAACATAGTAATCAGAGGCGTTGAAAGTAATAGTATAACTAATGTTTAACAGAGACATGTAGAAGATGCTAATTTTAAAATGGAGTTAAGCTGTATGGGCCGTCATAGATGCTACGTTCCATTCTCAAGGGGCCTTGAATAATTTGAAAGCAATATTAGTTCTCATTTGTGACTTTTTTACAGTTGCTTTCAATTGCCTGTAGAAGTGTTACTGTATGTATCATATATATACACACATATATAGTAACTTGCACATACATAATATACATATAAATTTATACTTATATTTATTTATAATGCACAGTACTTATTTGCCCGATGGCAACAAATACTGTATTAGCACGTAACTTCTAACTGTTGGTTTTTCCTGGCTATTAGGTGAAATAGATATCTGGAAATTTAGGCGAGAAAAAGTTATTGCTTTCGTACTTAAAAACCCCAGTGTTCCCCCATTTTCCCCAAAGGCAGCACTTGATACATACTGTTTCACAGCCAGGGCTCTGTTATCTCTCTATCCCCTCTTTGCATAGAAAGCACCGCGTTAGGATGGAAAAGATAGAAGCTCCACTCCACTCCACTCTGTTGAAGTTCTCTGATTATGGGAAGCATGTATTAAAATGATCAGTATTTTCATAAAAGAAGACATGTAAAGTATACTACCATAAATATTATTTTAAAAATGTTATGCATTTCCTCAAATATTCCTTGAGACTAAATTCCTGGAAGTGGAAATCTTTTTATGCATATTGCCAGCTCCCCCAGAAGGGTTTTTACCGATAGATATTCTCACCATTAGTGTTGGGGAGTGGCTGCTTTCCCGAAAATGTTTCCTCAGTTCCTATCACACAATTAATCCAGACTAGTTAGTTTTGAGACAATGGCCCAGTTCCCTGATGAAACCACACACTTTGTGTTTTATGATGCCTGTAAGTATGCTCACTGAAGCTTCCATAGTGGAAGCAGAGGGGACAATTTATGGAATTGTGCCCTTGTGGTATCCCAGTGTTCTTCTGCATTAACAAATTGCTCCACTGAATCAAAGAGGCAATTTATTAAATATGCCTTTTGATGAAGGAAGCATCGTGGAGAGCTTGAGAAGATAGTGAACACAGGTTTTAAAAAGAAAAAACGAATGAATACAGTTGTGCCTTGGTATCCCTAGGGGATTAGTTCCAGGACTCCCCAGGGCATGCTCAAGCATCTTATGTAAAATGGCATAGCATTTGCATATGACCCGCACACATCCTCCTGTATACTTTAAATCATCTCTAGATCACTTATAATACCTAATACAATGTAAATGCAATGCAAATAGTAGCTGTATTGCTTTTTATTTGTATTAATTTTTTGTATTGTTTTTCCCCAAATATTTTTGATCTGCTGTTGGTTGAATCTGTGGATGTAAAACCTGCAGATAAAGTATAAACTATATACTGTTGTTTTCCAAAATATTATATACTATGGAATTTATATCATGATTAATTTAGAAATTCAGTCACTATTTAGTGAGCACCATATTGCCAGGAACCATGACCACAGCTTGGAGTACAGAGAAGAAGAAAGCATCTCATAGTCTAATGGGGGTGGAAGGGGAATGGGGGAGGGGGGGCAGGGAGTATGATAGTTGAGGAATGTCAGAAGGCTAGCAGCAGAATCCTCACTGTGTATGTGAGGCTTTTTCCTCCACATACTACTTCCTGGTACTTCCTAGTACCAAGCTCTGTGCCCTTGTGAGCTTGGAAAGAAAGGGAAATGTCATTTGCCTCAAGCCCCTTGTTATCGGTTTATTTCTGTCACCATGACCCTTGACTGGGGTGATGGAGCATAGTCACTCAGTTAGCATTTTTTTCCTTTTAGATGCACAGATGCATGTCTCATTTTAGGCTAAAGTGTCAGGTATTTCTACTTTCAAAAATAAAATTCTGATCAAGTTAGAAAATTTTATTGTGCATATGAAAGAACCATTTGCCAACCATGATACTTCAAACTGAGAATGGCAAGAAGCTCTGCTTACAGCAGTTACAGTACAGTTTGTAAAGCATGAAGCATATTTTGACCTTTTTTGTGATTGGCTGTTACACATTAACATTCTTTTGAAGGCAAGCGGAGGAGATGTTTAAGCTGATTTGTCTCTAGCTGATTGGTTTCATTTCACTGAATCCTTCTGACAAGAATGTAAAGCTTATGTTTTTTGTTGTGTTTATGATTAAAGCTAGCTTTTCAGGGAAATCAGGATGACAAGTTTTGGCTGTGTGGTTACAAGTGGTTGGCTTTGGGGTATGTCTAAACTGTGGCCTCCATTTTTCTTTTTCATTCACTTTACAGATCTATGAAACGTCATCAAATACCAGAGTGAGCGTAATCACAAAATACCTAATAAGAACAAAGAATGAAGAGAATTTTGTCTTTAGCCAAAAAGCCCATTTGCCTCTTGCAATGCATACCTTTTCTTTGAAAATCAGTACCATATTTTTTATGGGCTTTAATGCTTGATTACTGATTTTGGATTGCCAATAAAAGCTACATTTAAAGCAAAAGGAACAAGTTCTCTAATCCCTGAGTGATTTAAAATATATGGACTTGAACAGAAAATTTTCATGTAGCTGTCAGTTTTTCAGGGATTTCATTGCTTCAATATCTTTCACCTGAACACTTCTTATAGGAACGATGCTCTACTTCGAATGTTTACAATATGGTGCTAAAGTGATAAAACAGAACTCAAAATTACAGTTATGCTGTGATTACATCTGTGTTAAAATGTGTAATCATGTGAACAAAGACTGGAAAGGAATATCCCCAATGTGAAATCATTCATTATGTTAGATGCATGAAGTTGACATGATTTATTTTTCACCTTTAAAACTTCTTTAATATGGCTTTCAAAATGGCTTTGATCATTTTGAAAACGTCTCCTAATAATGTTAATAATAAACACCTTGCATGTGAGAAGGTAAAAGTTATAATTAAGCCTTATAAGATTTGTCTCCTGACTTTGAAATTTCACTGGCCGGGGAAATTATTAACAAAAATGTGAAGGGCTGACATTGGTTGGCTAGCTTTTATATTTGCAAGTAAGGGAGGGAAAGTGCACCTACCTTATGGTATAGCCATCATTGCTAAGAAGAAAGGCCGTTTCAGCACCAAACAATCATATTTAATGAAGCATTAGATGCAACCAGGGTGCTGGTGTTGGGCACCCTCCCTCAGGTGGCTGAGGGCACATGGCTTAAGTGCTTGGTTACTAATCAGCAACACTGCCTGTACCTGCAAGGCTTGTAAATTCTACCAATGCCTCCTGTAATAGACACTGTCAGTTGCATACACAATACCTATTTACCCCCTTTTTTTCCCATCCTCATAGGATGTCAAATCTACCTGCACCACTGACCTCATTAGGAATAACAAAGTCCTAAAAGGATCACAATTTTAAAATATTAACATTATTTAATAATCTCTATGTATTTTAACCTTCTCAACTATGAGTTATTTGGCCTCCCAGTTTCCTTCCAACTCACCAAATCTCTTTAGTTATGTTTCTAGTAGATAATTTCCCAGGGCTATTCAAAATAGACAGATGTTTGATAGCATGCCTGGAAGATACATTGCAGATATTATTAGATAAAATAAATGTTCCTATTTGTTTGGGCTTTAAAAGAATGTGAACTTTTTTTAAAGAATAAATTTGGAAGCCTCTCATTATGATTTCTTGCTTGGTAGACAATAGCATGTGATATAAAACCACAGGCTGCTGGGCTGACAGCTGACTTCAGTCCAGACACTGAGAGTGAGGCCCCATCACCTCGCTTCACCTTGCTGGGTGTCTTTTTCTCATCTTTAAACGTGTAGAACTCAGACCATTTCCAGATCTCTTTTCAGAACCAAAGCTCTGCAAACAGAATAAACCACGTTATGTCTTTTGTTTGTTTGTTTGTTTGTTTTTTGAGACAGAGTCTCACTTTGTTGCCCAGGCTAGAGTGCTGTGGTGTCAGCCTAGCTCACAGCAACCTCAAACTCCTGGGCTCAAGCAATCCTCCTGCCTCAGCCTCCTGAGTAGCTGGGACTACAGGCATGTGCCACCATGCCCGGCTAATTTTTTCTATATATATTAGTTGGCCAATTAATTTCTTTCTATTTATAGTAGAGACAGGGTCTCGCTCTTGCTCAGGCCGGTTTCGAACTCCTGACCTTGAGTGATCCGCCCGCCTCAGCCTCCCAGAGTGCTAGGATTACAGGCGCGAGCCACCGCGCCCGGCCATGTCTTTTGTTTAAAATCCGTTTCAAGCTATGACATTTGTGGCAAGACTAGCAGTTTGCCCATTGAAAGATCTCACACTCCCCTTCAGGGCCTCCAGCTTTGATGCCTGCGGCCAAAACCAGCACAGTTGTGCATCATTTCAGTCCTGTACTCCGGAAGACAGACAGTTTCTCACATCAGCAAGACCAGTGGTTCCCAAACTTCGGTATACACCAAAATCTCTGTGAGGCTTGTCAAAACACAGACTTCCAGGTCCCCCCTCCAGAATGTCTGATTCAACAAGTGTGACTTGGGCCTGAGAAGTTGAATTTATGTCTTTAGGTGATTCTGATGCTTCTTCTCCAGGGATCACACTTTGAGAACCACTGAGCAAACCTCAAGGGTAAGTCTCAGACTATTCCTCCTTAATTGGGTGTTCCTGCCCCTCACAGCTCCTCTCTAACTATGTGAGGTGGCAAGGTCTGAGGATATAGGGAAGAAACCAAACTCAGGTTCTCCTATACTCTTGCTCAGTAATTAACATAGAAGACTCCTGTGGCCAAATACGTGGGGGTTTTCCCCACATACCAAGGCAGCCATCAGTTCTACAGGGGACACCTGGTGAGTGTCCTCCAACTCAATTCCGACACTATCTACCTGGAGATAGCATCAGATCCTACAGGTTGAGGGCTCAGTCCCACAAGGCTGTTCCCCACTTCTGATGGCAATCAGAAGCCACCTGTGCTTCTGACCAATAGGCTATAAATCGGAGTCCTCAGATGACCACCTTGGGTTCAATTAATTTGCCAGAGAGACTCATAGAACCCCAGGAAACACTCACTTACATTTACTGGTTTATTACAAAGGTCATTACAAAGGATACAGATGAAGAGATGCGTAGGGCAAAGGGTGCGGGAAAGAGTGAGGAGCTTGCATGTCCTCTCTGGGCACACCCCATTCTCCAGGAACCTCCACGTGTTCAGCCCTCCAGAAGCCCTCCAAACCCAGTCTGTTTGGTTTTATTCTGGGAGCTTCATTATGCACACATGATTGATTGCATCACTGCATATTGGTGATAAACCCCCTGAGGTTGGCATGGGGCTGAAAGTCTCGAATCCTGTCCAGGTCTTTCCCGTGGCCAGCCCTATCCTGAAGCTACCTAGGGGCTGCCAGGCACCAGTCAACTCATAAGCACGCACACAGCCACTTACCACTTCGAAGATTCCCACAATTTTAGGATTTGTATACCAGGAAAGGAAGACCAACTATATATTTTGCAATATCGCACAAGGGTTTAGGGGTGCTCTACAGGGGCACAGGCCTGCTCTACATGGGTGGCTAGAGCCTAGGCCAGTGTATGTCACAAAAGTCCCTGGCCTGTTTCTTGGCTCCTGCACCATATATTGGTTTTTCTGTTTGTTCATGCCTTTCTGTCAACAGATTTTCAAGTCACTTTTAAAGACAACAATTTTTAAAAACAGAAAAATGTATAAAGATAGACATGCAAATTACTTGCAATTCTCCCACAAAGAGTGAGAAAAATATTTCAAGTAAATGTATATTCTTGCACTTTGTTTTGAATTATGCGACTTATGTAATTTGGAACCCTGCCTTCTTTTATATCCACTTCACACTATAGTAGACCATTTTCTGATTTATTTGAAATAATGATGCTAAGTGACTTTACAATACATCAGATGTGATTATGAATATGGTTTAACTGTTTCCACCATAATTGAATATTTCATTTATTTCTGATTTTTCATAATTTTAAATGGCCAAATGTCATACATCTTTACCCCCAACTCTGATTACTTTCTTAGGATGTCATTTCTTTAGATGTCATTATTGGCCCAAATTATGAGCATTTTTAAGGTTCTTAACTATTGCTGAATTGCTTTCCAGAAAGGTCAGACTGACACATCCTTCAAGAGCAATGCATGGGCTGTCCCTCACCTCATGCCTTTAGTGAATCCTTGCAAAGACCTTTGACAGTTTAATGTGAAAATTTACATGTCATTATTTCTTTAATTTATATTTCTTTGATTATCCTAAGAAAGCTTTTTGCTCATTATACATGCATTTCTATGGCTGTTATTGTCAGTTTCTATATATGTGGCTTTTTAAAAAAAATATTTTATCGTTTCAAATTTTATATGCCTTCTGAGGGAAAAAATGGAATTATAATTAAACAAAAAGGAAAAAAATATACTCACAATCCAAACAATACAAAATTAAACACCCTTAACATTCTGCCAGACATTTTTCTTTGCATATGCATATACATTTGTCTGTGTTCCTGTATGTATTTTGCTTACAAACATAAGGAACATTTATAGAAGTTGTTTGCAAAAAGGAGACCACAGTATACATAAAATTTATAAGCCATCAAAATTTAAAAATATAAGCATATTTTAGTTTAAAAATAGACCTTAAAACATCATTTTAATTTACTGAATAGAATTTAATTAAGTATATGCATAGAATATTCAACTCATCACCCATGTAAATAATTCTTTTAATAGAAACATACTATTCATAGTAGGAAAATTTCTGAGAATGAAATTTATGAGCCAAAATCTACAACAAACACACATATACCTATATTTTTCTCCTAATTATAAATAAAATATAAATTTCTAAAACTTTAAATGTTTTAGAAATAGACATGCTATTATATTATTCTTAATATTGAATTTTAAAAAATTAGACTACATTTACTATTCTGTTCTGCAATTTACTTTTTATTTTTCAACTTGTCATCATATAATGTACCATTCTCTCATCAACATCCTCAGGTATAATTTTTATAATTCTTGCCTACTATTCCATTTTAGGGATGAACTATCATCTAATTTAACATTTCCTTTACTGGTAGATGTGGGATTAATATGATATTTTCTCCATTATGTATCTTTGCACATTTGTATGGCTATTCTTTCCGAAAAACTTTTGTAAGTGGAAATGCTTAATGGATGTAAACATTTTAAATACTGAAATCTATTTCCATATTGTCCTTCAGAAAGTCTTATAAGTTATATTCCCATTAATAGTGTATTAGAATGCCCAATTTCACATGTAGTAACAGACATTTGAAAGCTTTTGGTGGATGTTAAATGACTATTCAGAAAATTTGGACTAACTTAGGTTCCCTCTATCAATAAAATGAATGAAAGAAAAAGAATGGAAGGAAGGAAGAAAGAAAGGGAGAAGGGAAGGAAGAGAGGGGACAGGGAGAAAAAAGAAAAGAAAAAGAAAAACTTTGC